CGACAATATGCGTTTTTGCTGGCTGTAGCAGCGCTATAGCGCTGCACAGCAAAAACGCATAATAATATTATTGTGATGCGAGTATGCGTTAATTGTTAGGGTTTCCTAGAAAGAAAAATGAAAGGGGAAATGGGAAATGGATATTCCTAAGGCAGTGAATAATGTACAGTAGTGAAAATACCGGAAAAATGTTAACGATAATAATATAATAAATGTCGAAGTAAAGGAAGGGACTAGTGTTTGGGTTATTCGGAAGAACCCAAACTGAAAATGTTAATATCAGGTGGTAAGCGGAAGTATAGTTAAGCTTTATTTAGATAACATCAAAACACAGTTGTAATAACAGCAGTTGATGCGGCAAAAATAACCTCATTAAACCGCTAAAGTTTACCGAAAGTCGGTAAAAATTTTTTTAAAAAAGTAGGAATCAGCAGGCTGACAAATATTGAAAATGCCAAAAAATTGGAAATAAAGAAAAATTAAATAGTCATGGGAAAGCGTTTAAACTGAATTAGAGAATTTGATGTAGGTACTATTTCTAAACAAATGACATTTAATGAAAAGCTAATGAAATGGACATACAAAAGTTCATAAAGTCATAGATGTACAAAAGGTCGTGAAATGCACAATTCAGCCTAAATAAGATGCGGGGATCGGAAGATCCTGGTTTAAGAACAAATGGTGAGTTGCTGAAGCGGTTTGTAATTTTCGGAAAACCTGTAATGAAAAAATAAATTTAGAAAATGACAAAATAAAGTGAAATGAAGTATAATTTGAATGAACAGTATTAATGCAAATACTGTGGGAGCAGCTGGAAGCAAAACTGAATACGAACGTTAGGGCGTCATCAAAAGAAATATTAAATTTAATGGAGTATTTGAAAAATCATCGAAAAGAAGTATTAAATTTTTTCCGCACTAGAGATAATTTCAAGAAGTGCGAGATGCACAAGCTCATACCATTTTCGGTTCGGAGGCACTCGCACTCCGATACGTAAATCAGAAGTAGTCACATAAAAACCTTTTGATCGAAGTAAATCGGCAATGGTTCTCGCCCGTTGTGAAACTTCGTACTGAAGCTTCATTAGACCATTCCGGATACTACTGTTACGACCATGTGGCTTAAACTCTTTTGCCAAAGATCAAATTTTATTTTATCTTTAACGCGTAAAAATGAGACCAGAATACATTTATTGCTGAATCGACCCGTCCAGTGTATTCCTTTTAGCGCGAGGCTGTGTGCTTCTCCTATCCATTAAGTCCATGCTAAAGTCTTTCAACTCGATTTGTGGGCTTACAAACTGTTCGCTTTGTTGAACATTTGAGACTTCGGTACCACTGTCACTTTCTGATTCCTCATTCAGCCGACTGAGGATCGTTTTGACCCTGGTTCATGAGACCTCATGCGATTCTGGGCTTCCCTGGCCTTGTCCATCATACGCACCATTCCATTAGTGCTAGACGCCATAGTCTCATAGAACTCTGTTCCTTTTTGGGCCTCACTGCCCAAAGATTAGATAAGTAATCTAACCATTTGTTGTGAAGGTGCTCCAGTGTCCCAATGACTTCGCTTGTTTGACGCACTGCGTATTCAAATATTTGTTCCTCATTTTTGCAGAAATGGTGCAGCTCCACCGGACTTGCGTCTGCCACAGGTATTCGAATTGTAGGTTGTTCGGACAAATACCGTTGAAGTCGCGCCAGTGTCGGATTAGCTGCTAATAAAATTGCGCTCGGCATCTTCAGTTCAGTCAGTTCACAGTAACAACTGAATGTCGACAATTACTTGTCGGGCTGATGCACCTAAAAAATTCTGTTGTGTCTGTTAGAGTTGTCATAGTTCAGGTTCACCACAGCAGAACTTTCCTTTTAAAATTGTGATAGGCCGGGACACCTATTAAAATAATGCTCCTTGGTTCTGTAAATGGGCTGTGGCTGGACGGGCAATATTAGTCGAATGAAAGAGTGAGAGACCAACAATATTCCGACTGATTTATAAAAACATCGAAAACTTCCGATTTCTTGGCACAATTTAAATACCGATCAAAATGATATATATCATCATATAAATGGGCAAGCAAAAATCACATTTCTCAAACTTTATAAACGAAGCAATGTATTTTCAGTTAAATAAGATAACGTAAAATTACAACATCCAAGATCTAATAAACAAAACCATACATCTTCAAATAAATTAGATAGCATAAATTAAAACATCTTGAATCTCACAAACAAAATACCTTCGAGCAAATGTTGCAATTAAAATTTTTAGGTTTTCCCGACAAAGCAGGTAAGCGAAGCCGCGTCGATGTCGACAAGCAGAAATGCGAGGCCAAATAGGAATCCGAGGCAGCGTCAATAAGCAGGAATGCTGGTTGTGTCGGCAACCGCGAAAACTCGGCTGAGGGTTCCAGTCTTTTTTACTCGTTTTTTGCAGCTATGCAATGAAAAACGCATATTGTCAAGGAGCTGTCTGTGTGTCTATCTGTGTTCTGTGCGTCTGTAACGAGTTTTCATCTCGAGATCCACAAAAGCTATAAAGCTGAATATTTGGTGACTTAGTCTACACATACGTGCGGACTCGTATCCTCAAAATGGACACTCAAGTCCGCGTGCTTCTCACGTAGGGGCACGTGAAAGTTTTTTTGGTGGGAAGCGTTTTCAGAAGCAGATAGGAGGCTGGAAATTCACAGAGGTTCCTTAGACACGTCTAATCCAAAGATTTCAAATTCAGCCTTCACGCATCTCCAGGCCTCACGTACGCAGACGTCAAAGTTTAAACTGGTATCATGCCAACACTCCAGATTTAAGCTGATCAATAAGCTGCAGAGAGCTGCACTTTTGCAGCTTTACTTGCCGCCTACTATTGTGCTCATGAAAGTAAATTACTTATCAGCTCTTCTGCATCTCACGTACGAAGGCGTGAAAATTTCACACATGCGCTTTTGTAACTTCAGAATTGAGTCAGTCAGAGGACTTGGATTTTCTGAGCATAATCGACAGTGGCTTTTAACCAGATGCACGCAAAAACGACTTACACATCACTTTCATGTCACACGTACCACTCGCGTACGAACACATGAAATTTGACGTAACTCT